GCCACATCATTAGTCTTGTACTGACTTGTTTGGTGTGTGCAACAGGAAATATTTCACTTTCGGAGAACAAGAAAAATAGGTTTATTTGCATTACACTTACTAATTTGTGCAGTTATTCAGTGTCTGGCAAGTTAACGTTCAAGAAAAAATATTAATTTTCATTAAAATGTTCTATTATTTTATGTTAATGATGACTCATTTATTTTAGCCCTTCGTATTCAGCATGTCTCTATCAAAATAAACCTACTTTTTTATGAAAATTGAAGCTTTTGTTGTTGTGGGGTTTGTTTTTTTTGCGGTTCTTATAAACTTAAACCTTGTTTATCTGGCCCGTGTTAGCCTTTGAGTCTGACATGCTTGCCCTAGGGTAAGAGCTAGTTCTCAAATAGAACCCTGTGAAATGGAGCTGGGGATGGGCGCTATAGTTCTGATGCAGAGCCTGATTGCAGTCCTAACTGGTGATTCCTCTGAAATCTGCAAGTTGGGAGGATGTGCCCCCTCCACCCACCTCTGACTGAGGGGCTCTGGAACCCCTCTGGGGTGGTGTGATGTCTCATGGCTGTTGATGTGAGCCTTTCAGATTAGTTGCAGTTTGCAACAATGATTCCACTTCCCTCACTTTTCTCCTGCTGCACACACCTTAGTAAGGCAGTTGGATCACTCAAGGCAGCTGTCGCCTGAAAGGGATTGATCGTTTCCAGGCTGCTCACTGAATAAATGATCTGGACAAGAGGCATGGGGGAGGAGGGGTTATGTAAATCCATTTTTTTTTTAATTTCGAAAGACCGGGATCTTGCTCTGACCAGTTCTCCAGAATATGATGTCTTTCTGGTTAAGATGGATAAAAATGTTATTCTGTGAAAATGTTTTTGTCCATCTGGCACACATCCCTTCCAGATGAAAGGTCTGGGCAAAAAATGAAATGATTAGGAAAAATTGTAAAGATAGTATTAGTGAATTGGACACACTGGCTTTGTAACAACAACATCAACAGTAACAAACCCTGGCATCCGGGAAATCACAGGGGCAGGGGCAGAACATTATCTTTGTTTTCATATCTGTTCCTGGAAGCTTTCTCCTCTTTCTTTTTTAATATATTTTTTATTGATTTTAGAGAGAGGAAGGAAGAGGGAGAGAGATATAGAAACATCAATGATGAGAGAGAAACATTGATCAGCTGCCTCCTGCACACTCCCTACTGGGGATCGAGCAGGAAACCTGGGCATGTGCTCTTGACCAAAATCGAACCCGAGACCCTTCACTCCACTGAGCCAAACCAGCCAGGGCTTTTCTCCTCTTTCTGAAGAAAAACACTTGTGTTGCCATTTCAAGCTGCTGTGAGCACTCAGATTCAGAAGGACCGCGGAGCCCAGATGGCATGTGACCGTGTGACCATGAAGCAGCAGGGGTGGGCCAGCTCTGCACAGACCCGCAGAACACCTCCACATGCCGTGCACACTTAGCAGGTAATGGACTTGAGTTGCAGACTGAGCTGTTTGGAACTGACTGCCTCAGGCGGTACCTCTGAAAGCAAGGACTGAACTTCAAACCCCGGGACAGGAGGAACCACGGCGGAAAGCCACATGGGAGGTCCTGGTATGGTGTCCTGCCTACTCAATGCGCGTCCTGCTTGGGGTATAGATTTTTGGAGGATGGAAGAAGGATATAAGAGTTATGTCTTTGTTTCCAGGTGACCTGTGTACCCCCATGTGCCTTCAGGGATGGCACTGCTTGGGTGTGTGCCTGACCTTCGTGACCCTGGCAGAGCTATGCTGAGCCTGAATGGATGCCTCAGGCCAGGTTAATAGAGAAACTTACAGAGGAAGCTGCCAGCTGTCTTTCTAAGACAGACCTTTATGGATAATAAGATGTGTTTTAGCTGTCAAAGTCGATGGCTGTACAGGGCGTAAGTGAGATCAATACTGCAGGTTGGACTCAGCCTGCTGTGTGGGGTCCCACCGATAATAATTCTGTCAAGACACCTAGGCCAAGGGCCAAGGGAGTGGATTGCGCAGACAAGTTAACAGAGCAAAACTGAGACTGCTATCCTTAGCATGAATGGCCCACTTGCGAGGTTGGCCCTTGGCTGACTTCTGGGAACTTCAAGCTGGAGAGTGTTCCCACACTTCCCCAATTCATTAGAGTCAGTCACTGTGCCTAGATTGTGCAAACCATGGGGTTTATGCTGAACACCTGTTTTATCTGTGTGTTTGAAATTTTTGTACATGCTAGGTAGAGAGTGCCTATATGACTAGCCCTCAATAAAAACTCTAAACTATAAATCTCAAAGGGCTTCCCTAGGCAAGAATATCACACACATGCTGCTGAGTTTTTGCTGCTGGGAAGGGTGAGCTCTGTGTGACTCCTCATGGGAGAGGGAGAGCATGTGGAGTCCTCCAGACGCCACCTTGGTGTCCAGCCATATATCCTTACACATCTCTTTTGTAATGTTTTTATTGATTTTTAGAGAGAGAGGAAGAGGGGAAGGGGGAGAGAGAAACATTGATGAGAGAGAAACATGGATTGGCTGCTTTCTGCACAACCTCCTCCTGGGGATCGAGCCTGCAAACCGGGCCGGGCATGTGCCCTGACCAGGAATTGAACCTGTGATCCCTTGGTGCTTGAGACAATGCTCAACCAATTGAGCTGTCCAACCAGGGCTATCCTTACACATTTTTGTAATAGTCTTAGCCCTTAACATAACTATATGCTGAATCCCATGAAACTCTCTGAATGACGTGGTAGTCTCGGGGTCCCCCAACAGTAAGCAATGAAAATTTCAGTTATTTTCTTATCACTTTATAGATGTAGGTTATTTTGAAATTTCAATTATATTGATCACTGCTTTGACATTAAGGTAGATCTACCACCAGATAGTTTGGTATTTAATGTGTTGATAAGGAAGCACATATGCCACATTTTAAAATATTTTTAAAATTTAACATTTTTAGTATGTTTTGACATATTACCTTTGTATTCCCAAGTATTTTATTTGCTGCATTATTCTGGGAGCCTGATTCTAAGATGTCCATAGGATTCACCAGACTACACAAAAGAAATTTGAAGATTCCTTCCAATGGGTCTAGATGTAGTAATCATTAATGGGCAATTTATTACCTATAAGTGAATAAACATTTAGTGCCATATATTTTATTCAGAGACAAGGAAGAACTAGTTCTACAGATGGCATTTAAAGGGGCACCAGGAGCCAACAATAAAATCACTTTATGATTTTGTGCCACGTTTGTTCAATGTGACAGTTACATATATAATGTATCTAAAAGATGAGCTATAATTGGGGGTTTATATGAGGTTGAGCTTTCTGGAATTATAGAATGTACATTTCTTGTTGGACTTTATTTACTGTGTACAAAAAATCCCAAATTAAAACTTTGAAAAACTCCTACTTCACTTTCAGGTGCCCCTATGATTACAGGCGGCCACTTGACTATACTTGGTACAAAGGTAGTCTTCCATACAGCAGATGGAAGTGGAAATGAAGCCAGACATAAGGCTATCCTCACTGACACTGGCATGTCCTAATATTAAATGCCATAATGTATAAAGATAACTTAATTTTTGTTTATGTTGGCTAGGTTTTAAGACATTTTTGATGTTTCTAAATGTATTTTTATTGTTGATAGTGTTACATGTATCTCCCATTTCCCTTCCCCCCCTCCTCCCAGTCCCTACCCACCCACCTCCAGGTCTTCACTACCCTATTGCCCATGACCATGGGCTATGCAAAGTATATAAGTTCTTTGGTTTATCTCTTCTCGTCCCCCCAACCCCACATTGAGGTAAGTCTTCAATTCTGATGAAACCTTTTGCAATCAAGTTAATAGTTAACACCTTAACATTTATTAAGACTTAATAGTACAAATTTGATTTTAGCAGGGTCAGTGGAGAGTCACTAAACATGTGAAAATAGCTTATTAGTGTAGTACTCTGCTCTTTTCTTAAAGATGTACAGAGATATGTTACCTGTTGCAAATATTTTCCTTCACAATGAACCGGTATGATACAGAGTATTTTCTACTTGTCTGTGACTAAAGTTTTTCTTTAATTGAATACAAAAATACTATGCATGGCATGTAAAAATAATAAGAAAGTTTATTGAATGCCATTTTACACTCTTTTGCCCACTACTCCTTATCGCTTCATGGTGAACTGCACTTGTGTGGCCCATAGATGCCTTTATAAAGTCGTACAGAGCATTTCCAGCATCATATCATCCATGCTGACAGCGCCGATGATGGACCTGAAGAACAGTTCAGTAACAGCATTGGCACTGATGAATCTAAGCTGGAAAAGGACGCTATTCAGTTCAGCGACTCTGACATGGTACCCTCTGTACATCATCCTGGTGTGTTCGCCAAGGATCTGCTGAGTTCCCCACTGAAGTCCCTGAATATACTTCACACACCGCAGGCCTGGCAGGTCTGGAAGAGAGAATGGGAGAAAAATCTCTTTGTTATTAACAGCTTACTCACAGACTCCTTTGTTAGCTTTTTCAATATATCCATTTCTGCCCCTCCCCAAACTAAACAAGAGCTCAGCTTCCTGGTATAAAGGGCTTTCTGGAGCAAGGATAAATGCTGAGCCAGTTCTAAGTTTTCAAAAACAATGCTTTCAAGACTGAAGCATCATAGAATTATTCTTCTTTATTATCCACTATGTTTGTATCCTCACACTTAAAAACTGCTGGCCCTGAGTCAACAAACACACACTTCATTCACTATGACAGTAGAATATAGTTTAATGCATCATTGCTCCAGTTCACTATCTGTGCAAATATGAAGAAAGTAAAATTATTTCAGGAAGTGAGCACTTTGCCATTTACCTGTGGGAAACAGGCCATTGTATAATGACAAGAAGTTTTGCTAGATGAAAAATATTGTATCATCCTCCTTGGAATTTTCCACCATTATAATAACTATCCAGCTGATGGTGGTAAACTTCACAGCCACAAATGATGACTCACAGTCTCATTTTAATTATTTGCCTGCAGGCCGATTTTAGTCTTGAGTCCTATAATAACTTAAGAGATAACACTGACCACTTAGCTCATTGTACCATAATTTCTGTATTAGGGAAGGTAAAAAAAAAAAAAAAGCAATTCTAAGGAGCATTCCAAAAGGCTCCTTTAAAATATATATATTACTTTACAGTAAGAAGTCTTTGTGAGCATTGTTTTACAGCCATTAAAAGGTTAAAAAGTCAACATGAAGACATCATGGATTGCAACATGGTTCAAAAGTAACTTTTCAAATAGAGAACAGTGACCTTCTTTCAGTCCAATGTGACACCCAATGAGTGAAATATAATACAGGAAAGATGAAGTGCTTTTTAATTTAAGAAGGTGGTAAGAAGAGGCTGCTTTTGAAAGTCCGTTGATTCTCCATTATATTAGTATTACCTTAAAGTCTAACTTGTATTTAAGTAATTACCGATTTACCGTTCTGTTTAAATGATGTCAATGATGATTGCAATCATTTTCCTTCTCTTTTTCTACAAAATCCAACAGAAAGTATTTTTCCCTTTTTTATTGACTGTATTGAGCAGAAAGTATTTTAAAAGCACCATGCTAATCATCACAGAGTAGCAGAACCAGTCAGTGTCCTTTAAAAAATAATAATGGCAATAGATGAGTCATGCCTATTATAGGCAAATACCAAATTTGATCAATAAAATTAGAACAAAAGCAGCATCTCTGGTCCATATTCCAATTCTGATGATCCCAGTCCACACATTAACATCCCCTCCTACCTACAGCTCATTATCCAGGCTCGAGACCCAACTTTACTGGGTCTGAATTCCACTGGTTAGAGTAAAAAGAGGCTTGCATGAAACTCCACAGAAATTCTGAAGCTCCTCCAGGACTAGATTTATGGATCATTAAAACTTTATCTTGAAAATTCCACATCACTTTCCTCAGCTTTCATGGCACACCCTTCCATTTCCACCTCACCCCTCCCCGCAGTGTGGCTCCCCCCGGCCCCCGCAAAAAAAAAGAAAAGATTTGCCTTTAACATAAATTCAGGGAGGAAAACAGGTGTTTAGTTAAACTCTACAGTTAAAAAAATTAAACAAAAAGATCAGGGGATAAAAAAGGATAAACAGCAAAGAAAGGACACAACACACATTTAACAGGCTTTACTTTTCTCTCCAATACAGGTGCATTTGTGTTTGAAACACAAATAGCTTAGCTTAGCTGGCTAAACTCATATTGGGAAGATTCCAAGAAGCAGAGTAAGAATAAGGGAGGAGAGAGAGGGGGGTGGGGGAGGAAGAGAGAGACGGGCTAACAGGGTGGAGGAAAAGAGGGAAACTAGTGAAATGTAAACTTCTGGAAACTGAGCCCCTATCTTACCTTTGTATTCCAAAAGAACAAAGCACATGGTAGATGTTTAGTAACAGAAGCTGAAGGAGGGAGAAAACTGTTTCCCAATGATCTTAAGAACCACCAGGGACACTTGTGATGAATGCAGAGTTGCAGACTGGACCAGAGCTACTGAATCAGAATCTCTAGGGGAGCGGCCTAAGAAGATTTTAAACAAGCCCCGTCCCCCTCCCCACCCAAGTGTTTCTAATACACTGGCAAGTTTGGAAAACAGTTATATAAGCAAAAGGTGACCTATAATGATCGCTGAGATGAGCTGAGGTCTTTAGGTCTGAAATGTGAGTTCTAAATGAATCATTTCCCCACCAAATAGTGCTCTATATCCCTTCAAAAATGCTAGGCACACCCTAGTTGCTTTGGCTCAGTGGATAGAGCCTCAGCCTGCAGACTGAAGGGTCCCTGGTTCAATTTCAGTCAAGGGCACGTGCCCAGGTTGCCGGCTGGATCCCCAGTAGGGGGCGTATAGGAGGCAGCCAATGCATGATTCTCTCTCATCATTGATGTTTCTATATCTCTCTCCCTCTTCCTCTCTGAAATCAATAAAACTATATTTTAAAACATTATAAGAAAGAAATATCGCTATTATTTTAAAAAATGCTAGGCAGGAGGTAAGACATAACCTGAGACTCCTGGTGTCAGGAAAATACATGTTATGAAAACTATCCCAACTCAAGCTGCCTGGAAACTTCATGCCTATTGTGACCCTTTGAGATGGATTCTGGTTGAAGATGACTTTAGTATTAGGACATACTTGAGACTAGGGGCTGGGCTGTCCAGGAAGGTGTAATGCCATGAGTTGGTTGCACTGTGTGGAAGAGTGTCCAGCACCCAACACACATCGGGCCCAGGAGATAGGAGGCCCTTGTTCCACAACTCATTGGCCATTTGGTTTGCAGTAAGGCCCCTTGGGACCAGGCTACCTAATCTGCAAATGGGGTAGAGGACAGAGTGACTTGATTAAGAGGTCTCTAAGGTCTGTTCAAGCTCTAAAATACAGTGTTCCTGCTCACAGGCTCCAGTGTGTCATTTTTCTGCCCCATCACTAGCCTGAAACTCACAGACACTTGGAGGACGAGATAGTCCAGCTACTTGGGACCATAAAAATGACCATTCAGAGACAGAGCTATGGAACACTAAGTCCAGTGTCTTGCCTGACAGTGTCCCCAGGGGAGGGTCTCTCTATGGGTTGTTAATAAATGTTTCCTTTCTTGCCAGCCTTCATAGAGTTTCTCCAACAACAACAACAAAAAGGTTCCAGTAAATTTCAGAACTGCGTTTCAGAAAGAGATGTTGCCGAATTTGCAGTAAACACAAACTTTTTTAAAGTTATGTTACTGGATTAAAGACTAGAGAAGCCCCAGGCCTAGAAAAAGCCCCGTTTTGGCTCAGTGGATAGAGCATTGGCCTGCAAGCTGAATGGGTCCGGGTTCAATTCCAGCCGAGGGCACATGCCTGGGTTGCGGGCTCCATCCCCAGTAGGGGGCGTGCAAGAGGCAGCAGATCAATGATTCTCTCATCATTGTTTCTATCTCTCTCTCCCTCTTCCTTCCTATCTGAAATCAATAAAAATATATTCCAAAAAGATACTAGCGAAGAAGGAATATCTATATCCTTTGAAAGCACAAACTTTTGTGTAGTAACAGAAAGTTATAGAGAGATAAGTACAAACTTCAACAAAACACCCCCTCCTCCAGGCTGAGTTTCTGGCAGCAGACCACCCACAAGGAGTAGTTTCTGGAACTCCCCCCACTGTGCTGAGTTAGTCCCCTTTCTTCACTGTTGCCCCGATGCTCCCCTGTCCCCGCGTCCTGGTAGGCACTGCCCAATGCTCTACTGAGCAGAGAACACCCAGAGCCCGAGGCCGGCACCCTTACCCGGGGTAAAGAGCACGATCCCCTTGAGGTAGGCGTACTCCTTGGCAGTGATGCCCAAGCTCCAGCACTTGGTAAGGAAGCCTTTAATAGCCTGGACCTCAGCGGCTGACGGCAAAAGCCTGGCCTCTGTTGGCGGGATCGAACGCTCCTGCGGTGTAGGGAGAGGTTGCGGCTCGTCGCCCTCGGTCTCCCGCCGCCTGGTGGTGAGGACACTCTGCAGCCAACCGGGCTCCAAGGTCTCCGTGATCTCGAAGTTAATGCGGTCCTGGGCCAGCTCGAGCATGAGCAGCGGTGCCCAGCCGCTGCGCGCCAGCACCAGCTGCTGGTCCAGGGGCAGAACCTGGAAACAGGGTAAGTACTTGACGAAGCGCATGGTCCTCAGCAGGGCCGCCGAGGCTGCCTCGCAGACCACCTGTGGATTCTGGAGGGCCACCCGCCGCTGTGCGCCGCTCCAGGGGTTCCACCAGGGGGCCCCCGGCAGCGCCACTGGCTGAGCCGCGTGCATTTGTTTTGAGCTCGCGGGCAGGTTGTAGAAGATGCTGGCCCGCGGGTGCTGTTGGCCGCAAAAGCAGCAGCGATACAGGAGCGCCAGACCCTCTCTGCCCACCGCGGG